ATAAACCACTCTGATAGAAAAATATTGAATTTGATCAAAAATCCAGGATAGCTCTTCCCTTTTCAGACCACTCCATTCACATCTCAACCTTTGGTAAGAAATAGGTTTCTGAGGTAAAATGAGGAAGAGAAAGACAATACTCACTTATTTGATAATTTCAGGAGTTTCAGCTTCTCCAAAAGTTACAAGTTCTGATATCAACCACCCAAACCAGCCAAGAGGAAACACTCACTCAAGCTGTCAACCATATTCTGTTTCCAGCACCGGAGACTGAAAGAGTCTGTGTTATACATAACAATATACCAGCTCATCTTTTTGTAAGGGAAAGGTACTATCTTAGCCATTTCTCAGAGGCATAGAGGGATTCTGTCTATAGTTACTACATGCTGGTCACAGTTTTGGATGAGAATGTCTTGGAGCAGAAGAGGCAAAGATTTTGTGTGCACATGTGTTTTATTAAGCTCCCACTGAGAAGTCTGCATTCAGTGTCTGGTACAGATTGGACCTATAAAAGTTGTTACTAGAGGCCAACTGAGATCTAATCAGTTTTTATGTATACATTACACAGTAAACATGGGGATATGTGAATAACCCTAGATTTTAGACGGCACTGTGACAGAAGATGATGAAATGAAATGACAAAGTGATGCTTCTGAAATTTCATGATCTCTGTTGTCTTGTCTTAAAATTCAGTTAACAGCTCCTGAGATGTAATTTTCGTCTAGGATATGGCAGAAAGAGTGAGAATTAAACTTCTCCTTTCTACCCCTTATGGTACAAAAGCTGCTCAGTTTTTTTCCCGTGACTGCTATTTAGAAAGTTAAAAAGTACATATAAATTACACTCACATAGTTAACATCATGTCTAGTTTGGCCCTATGTCATGCACTTCTATTAAGTTGCTATGCAAGGCAGTTACTTGGAAGTCTGCCTATAGTTTTTACTAGACGCTATTGCATTGATACGTACTCTTTGGCATAGTCAGTCTTTGATAGGCATGTCCTGCTGGTTGTCTCTGCCTGAGACCATAAATTGGACTCTTGTAGACTGCTTTTGTACATTTCAGAGTTAAAGACTGTGTCACACTGAATTAAAAGGAAGAGGAATCATTGAATTTAGTATATATTTCCATTATCAGGTGTTCTGGGTTAGGGCCATCTTCCCTTGCATTAAACACACACATAAGCAGAGATGTCACATTGTTCAGAAATTCTGATTAAGGCAGAGTACAAAAATATTTGGAATTGGACATTTTGAGTGTTGATGGGATGCCCTCTGCTCCCACCCTTATATTAGTTGTACAGAAGAAGTCTTATTCTAGTTTCTATACATAATCATGATCTTGGAATAAAATTTCGAAAAGCAAGACATTATGTAACATAGGTCTTATTCAATGCTTGATATTTTGCCATATCAAGAGACAAATAGCAATATTCTAAATGATGGGTTTATTTACCAAAATGCTTTCTCTTTCTGAATGAGGGGTGTATTTAACAGAGTGCTTAAGCATTACTAGTAGTGCAATACTAATTCTTTGTGATATCTGTGAATCATAACTTTGAGTTGGTTCTGCTCCTGCTCAGAGACTATGAGGACATTATAAAGCCTAAAAAGTCCATTAAAGCCTAAAAAGTCCATACCCTCTCTGCTGCACATGCTCCCCACCCTGTAGCTAATCCTCAATTCCCCTGCAGCTGTCACTGAGGTAGCACCTTGGGAGTGTTCCTAGAGCCTTCTTTTTTCTTCTTCAAAAATGCTACATAGTTCTTACCTGTAGCTTTTACCTATATCCATTGGTTCATTTTTCTCCAGCCTTCTTTCGAGGTTCTTCATCTTACTTTTAAAAAGGTTCATACTTGTTAATCATTGTACATGTCCTCCCCAACTTTTTTATGGCCCCAGTGGGCCCACTCAAGAAGTGTCACTTATTCCAACAAGATTCCTCTCACTCATTCTAAATACCTTTATTGTCTTGGTGAGTGGCACTAGACTCAGAATTGCCAAACTTGCTGTAGGCTTCCCAAGGTAAGCATAAAAAAATAGATAATCTTGGCTGAACTTTTATCTCTGGGATAAATAACACAAAGCAGTTGATGCCATTGCCAACCAGGCTACTTTGGTTCCATCAATTTCTATCTGCAAAATTCCGACTAAGCAGATATATATGGAGCCAATTCAATCTGAGTCTACATCTGCAAAGCCTTCCAGTAAAGCTATTGACCCTACACAGCAAACACCCTTGACACTGCGGACAGAGCATTGACATCAGAGTTTGCATCGGTTTGCAACCTGAATCGGTTTCAAACTTGGTTCAGAGAAAAAAGGGGGGAAAAATCTACTGATTCAGATAGTCAGGCCAAAAAAGGTAAAGACCAAGCAAAAATTAAGGAGACCCAGGAGCCAGCGGAATCTGGTTTCAAAAATACTACCATCACAGTCACCACCTTGTCATCATTCTCCAGTGGACAAGGAAAGTGAAGGCCATAAGGACTTTTATGCTTTGGATCTGCTTCTGACAAATCTCTTGAGTCCACGTTATCTTCAACAACCTTTAGTCAATTATCAGAGTGGAGCCAACTCATCCAGAGGACTCTGAATAAGCTTTCTCTACTCTATGAAGGCTCAAGAGACATGTAGACCTCAACATCATGGACAGTCTCCCTTCTTGTCTTCTGATTTGACTGCCAAATGGAAGTAGAGGCATCTCCACCCCATAAAAGACACCATAAACTACAATATTCTCAAGTGCTAAGGAGGCAATGCATCCCATCATCACTTGTCTGTGATTATCATTGTCATGCTGACTGCTCCTGCTCTCAGTCAGTTTTGAGGTCATTTGAACCAAAGTGCACACAGAGATCTCTGGCATTGAGATTGTACAAACTGAAGAAACCCACCTTGTTACCTTGATGACACTGACCGTTCACATTTGTGATTGATTTTGAGGTCCCCAAGTCTGATGCCTAGAAATCAGTGTAAACCAGTTCAAAATCATTCCAGGGCTTTTACACCAAATACTGAACGAAGGGAGCCCTCAATGTTGAAGTGTCCGCTACTGGTTACCCAGGAGCAAAGATCTGTCTTCATCGGTTGAGCCACATTGTTTCCATCACCAACACCTTTTTGGAACGACATGCCCCAAGGTCTTTACCATTTACCAGTGCTGGAAAGGCCGTACATGTATTGCGTACAATTCTGGTCACCGCACCTCAAAAAAGACAGTGGAACTGGAAAAGGTGCAGAAGAGAGCAACTAACATGATGACTAGACTGGGGCACCTCCCTTCTGAGGAAAGGCTACAGCATTTTGGGCTCTTTAGTCTAGAGAAAAGGTGCCTGAGGGGGGACATGATTGAGACATATAAAATTATGCAGGGGATGGATCGAGTGGATAAAGGTAAGCTCTTTTTTCTCTCATGCAATACCAGAACCAGGGAACATCCACTCCAGTTGAGTGTTGGGAGAGTGAGAACAGACAAAAGAAAATCTTTCTTTACTCAGTGAGTTGTTAGTCTGTGGAACTCCTTGCCACATGAAGTGGTGATGGCATCTGGCCTAGATGCCTTTAAAAGGGGATTGGACAGATACCTGGAGGAAATGTCCATTACAGGTTATAAGCCATGATAGGGATGTATAATGTCCAAGCTTAAAAGGAAGGTATCTCAAAATGGTAAGGCCACTGTGAGATACAGGAAGGTGGACTAGATGGGCCCTTGCCCTGATCCAGCAGGGCTCTTCTTATGTTCTTATGTTCATGTCTCCTTGCCATTGAAGGAGGAGAAGCCACTGTAGTGAGTATATGTTTGCCTTTTTATCCTCTGATCTAGTCCTTTCCCTTGCTCAAATACATCCTTGTCTAGCAAGTTTGCCTATAGGAAACCATTCTGTCTCTCCATAGTCTGTCCTAAAAGTAGTTTCTTGTCCATAATACAGATAACACATTAGGACAATCAAATGCTGAGGCACACCTGTTTCTTTCAGAACAACTCATAGCTTCCTCATGATCTACACAATCAAAGGCTTTGCTGTGGTGTATAGAGTATATATTAATCTCCTTTTGAAATTCTTTGTTGTGCTCCAGTAGCCAGTAGATATTTGCAATATGATTTCAAGTGTCTCTTCCTTTTCAGATTCCAGCCTGAACAACAGGCATTTCACACTCCATATAGGGTAAACGCCTTTGTTACAATACCTTGAGCATAAATGTGTTTGCATGGGAAATTAGAGCAATGGTCCTATAGTTACTACACTCCTTGGCATCTCCTTTCTTGGGAATTAGATTGTTTATTGAACATTTCTAGTCTCTGGACCATTGTTTGGTTTTCTGTATTTGTTGACATATTCTTGTCAGGATTTTGACAGATTCAGTTTCTGTGTCTTGAAATATGTTTATTCCATCTGCCTCTGGAAATTTATTTCTTCTCAGTGCTTCTGAGCAGCTTTCACTTCACTTTCTAGAACAGCAGCTTCATCATAGGATTCATCTTCAAAAGAATCTGTTATCCTTTTATCTCTTCTGTATACTGTTTCTACCTTCTCTTTATTTTATCCTGGTCAGATAGTGTACTTCCCTGTTGATCCTTTAGCATTCCCAGTCTGGGCTTAAATCTATACTTCATATTATATGCTTTAAATTATAAGCCACATACTGTTTTCCTACATGTAGTTGAGCATTACTAGCTTTCTGTTTTGCTTGAAATACAATTCTGTGCCACTGTAAACATAACGTGAACTGAGGAGGTGGGGCAACATGCACTCATGTGAGTGGGGAGTTCCAATTTGCTATGTAACTTTTTACCTGCTGAGGTACATGTATTGGTATTATTTCCTGTTTTGGCCATCTGAATTTTTTAATTTTTAACCTTTTCATTGTGCAGTATATACACATATACATATACATACCCGCATGCACTTTATATACATGCACTTTATATATATATAATGCAATTTTAAAAACCATCTAGAGCCATTTAATAATAAGAATGGTCTCTTTTGCTTCTAGGCCAAAGGTGAAGATATGAGGAAAGATGAACTTCCAGCACATGAAATCCTAGCTGTGGTCGTGGTGCCTTTCCTTCCCAGAGCTGCATCCATTGAATGGCATGTCATCGCAGTAGTTGATGAGCCACAGCAAAGGGAGAAACGGGTGCTGATGAGATCATTGGAGAGCTGCCAAATTAAATGTGAAGCTGTGCAGTCCTGTGCAGCCCATACTATAGCTGTTGCCATATCCTTAACCATGACTTCAGCATCACCTTCTACAATCAATTTAGACAGAGTCCTACACAACATGGTTGAAATGTTTAAGCAAGTTGTAGAGGAGATGGCAGGAGATGGTGACACAATCCCTTTGGGGTTTAGAACTTTCTACAGGACGGATGTTGTTGGAATGGCAGCACTGAAAGCAGGTAAGTTTCTGTATACATACTTTAGATGTCCAGTGTCAGGGTTTTGCCAAATATTTAAAGCAGACTCTTGCTGCCATGTGTTTCAGAATATCTCATTTTTAAAGCTTCTTTCCCATAGTCAACAGTCAATTTATCTAGATTTGCCTAAAACACAATGTGTGAGTTTGTATTTTTGTAGTGAACATTTTGTAGCTCCAGTCTGGATAATAACAGTGCGAAAGTTATACTTTGAATTTGGAGAAGTTTGAGTTTGTATTTTTGTAGTGAACATTTTGTAGCTCCAGTCTGGATAATAACAGTGCGAAAGTTATACTTTGAATTTGGAGAAGTTTTCAAAGGCCTTTCTGATGATCTTGTTAACTAAAGTTTTACCTGTGTAGATTTTGGATGTTAATCAAAGAAAATCATTGTCACATGGTACAATTTCACAAGCCTTCAGAGTTCAGGAGCAAAAAATGTTACCAGAATGTGGGAAAACTCATTAAATCCAGTAGTGACACAGGTATGATGGAGCAGACAACACAGCAGCCACTATTGGCTTGAGTCAGGGCAAAAGTGAGTATTTTTACATACACACACACACACAGAGAGAGAGAGAGAGAGAGAGAGAGAGAGAGAGAGAGAGAGAGA